TTCAGGTTAAAGCAGAATGATGTGCAACCAAGCGGTATAAAAGCTACAAAGACTCCTCCCATTATGAGTAGTTTGCTATCAAGTAGCGACACTGGCTCTTTTCGTTTTGCGTACATGGCGAATGAGAACGACCCAAATTTGAGTTTAGTAATCGCCAAAAGTGCAGGAACTCAGCGATGAGTAAATTTGTCTCATGGTTTACTGTGGAAACCTAAAAAATCTGCCAGAAAATGAGGAAATTGACGAAAATTTTATTCAGTCTTGGAGTAGTACCAATAGACTGAGTGAATCCAATCTTTACTTTTCTCAAATTCTGGAAATTTTTCCCTGGAAAATCCTGGAAAAACCTCGGAAAACATGAGGCAAATTTACTCATCGCTGAGTTCCTGCACTTTATTTCTTATTTCTGAGATAACTAAACTCAAATTTCGGTCGATCTCATTCGCCGTGATATCACCTTGAAAGATATGGGCGCCGGTGGTTAGCGTGATTACCTCTCACCCCAGCAGGCCTGGGTCCAATCTCAGTCGGCGCCACCGGCATGTTCTAAGGCATAACATCTCTGATCACGCCTTCCTTCGGGAAGTAAAGCCGTTGGTTGAGTTGATGGGTCGATTGGTAGGGTCCAGATGTCGAAGCTGCTTCCCTGGCGTCGGTAGCATTGGAGCTCAGTACGGAAAACAAATCTCGCGTCACTTTTCATTAGGTCCTATCTACATTTATCGATTCTCTTCATCGGCACTCTCTTTCGTAAATAACTCGGCTTCACAAATGTTTCCTGCCGTTTTCGTCGAATTAGATGCTAGATTGTTGCTTCTTCCATCGAAAATATCCGGCCGTGGCGATTCAAAGTTGATCAAGGTTGATCAAAATAATTTGTACCCCTGCTTCCAGTTTGATTACATGAGCATTTTGTGTGGTCGTTGGTTCTGAATATGGACAAACAGGCAGATGAATTCTATTCCTACTCTTTACTGTAATAAGCTTGGTGGCCCTGAAAAGAGCCTTTTTGTTGCCAAAGTTGGTGATGATTTAACCTCCGAAACCAAACAGAGTGCGTCTCTGTCACTTCAAAACGTAGATGACATCCATGGCCGCTTACGCTTGGCGTGTTGAGTGTAGGTGACAGCATCACGGATCTCTTTTTTCATGAACACCTTCAGCACACCTCGTAAATCAGACCGGAGATACGTCAGACACCGCCACGGCGAGCCAGACGACGGATGGTGGTTATCTCGAAGAATTTGCGTTTGGTTCTGAACATGACTCCCTATTCGCACGCGCCCGAGGATCGGAGGCGAATGCCACTTCGACCTGTTTCGTCTACTTACTACTCTCTGACGACTGTGCTGGGGAAGCAGCATATGCATGTAGGTAATTGGTGGATTTGTTAGTTAATTCGACGCTTTTGGACAATGCTGGACATTTGCCAGTTTTCAATAGTTTGTTTTGTTGAAAATCAACATTTGGAAGCATTGTTATCGATGCGTAGCCATATTTCTGATCGATTGGTGATAAAATTATTGAAATTGGACCAGGGGCAACTGAGTTATAAACGTTCAAAATCTTTCTTAATTTGTTACATGTTCCATTTTCGGTTTTCACAAAGTGTACCCCCACATAGAAATCAAAGACGTAGTCCTACGTCAAAACACCTTAGGGATCAAAAAATTACGTTTTAGATTACATCGAAATGTAAGCTGATGTGTGGAGCCATTTTTTTCCTAATACTCCCCTATTTATGAAGTTAATCAGTAGTGTTACACGGTTATACGCGTTAGTGCCTGTCATACTATACCCTCGTGTACTGTATTTTTGTAAAAATGACTGAGGAATCGAGAAATCCAATTCAGTTCCGTTTCAACTGATCCTAGTAGGTAATTCCTTACAGTGTATGTTCTTTACCGCTTATTTTTTTATCTATATCCCTCCAAACGATCATTTCTATGAACCAGTAAATAGAAAATACAAAGATCAGTGCTGATAAAAATCAAAATAGCTGAAAATGAAGACAACTTTAACCAACTACTTGCATGAATCTGAATTTTGACATAACAGCTTTCTCTTTATCAAAGCAACTTCAGAGTATCGTAATCAACATTCGTCTTCATCTTGGCGGGGATGATTTTGAGGATCAAATGCATAATGATTATTTTAAACAAATATAGCGCTGAAGAACGTGTCGTGCAAGTTTTTACACACAAACCGATGGCAAATTATTGCCTCATGCTGAATTGATGATAAAATCCTGGTTTTGGGCTCTGGAGTCAACAATATCCAAAATAATCACTTTGTCCAAAATGAATTTAATTATTTTGCTTTTGAGTATCATTTCTGATTTTGACAATTTTGGGTTGGATAATCAAGCACTGGTGAATATCAACAAACGCGTATTCGTTGATGTATAATAAACTCATTTGTTCATTTCGCTCGTACGTAACAGCGATGATTTTCAAAACAAACGCATTTAATCTACACTGGGTTGAAGCGCTATTCCTTGTGTGTGATGGTAAATGATAAAAACACTGACAAAAATATTGGATTTGATGAAAAATAATGAAAAAAATTAACCCTGCTGATCAAATCGTTTCTGTTAACGATACGTATAGCGTGAAATCATATATTCATGACTTACTCAAGGTTAAGACGTGACGGTTTATCTTTTTTACAGTGACAGGGTAAGGATGCAAGAAGTTGATATAAAACTCAATCTTGGGGTCTGAACGAGCCAATGCAGACTTCATCAAATCTGACAAATTGGTCTCTGGAGAAGTTTTGCGAACAAGATGGGAACGAATATATTTATAATTTTTGTGGCAACATTCACCAGCTTATTTATCAACAAAATGCAATGGAAATGGCTTTAAAATAAATAAAATTAATTTGTTTATAATGCGTAGATTAGTAACCAATGATCTTACTAACTTATCTACGTATTCTGCTAAATGTTTGTATGGAGGTAGATTTCTTATAAACGGAAACTCAGTGTATACCTGCTCTTCTAAGATGTTGTACAACTCTGTTAACTTGCCCTTGTTCAAAAATTGGTTTGACAAGGCCAAACAGCTTATCAAATGCAGGTTTCTAATCACATCAGCATCCGCATTAAGAACTTCTGCTAACTTTTCTGGCTCAGAGAATAGTCTTCTGGCCATGTTTCCATTATTGGAACTTCCGCTACCTCCAATTTTCGGGCGGTTTACGTGCATCTTGAAATGCCCTTCGAGTTTGTTCGCCATCTGTTTTTTGCCGCTCTCCGAATCATCCACTCCACACAATTTAAGCGGGTGTGAAAATACGATGGTCCTAATTGTTCGTCCGCACGTAATAGGGGTAAAATTGTCTAAAATGCATAGTCTGCAAAGACTGGTGACGTACGAAACCATGTTCAATGGATTCTCCAGATGTTTTTCTACAAGAGTGACAATATTTCAGAACGTATATCAACCACAATGAGGTATTTTTAAGTCATTTTTACAAAATTTTAAGAAGTTTGAGTAAAATGCTCCAAAACCCCCAACTTGCCCTACTCTGCATAGGACGAAACTATTCCCACTGGATTCCTGAGAATGTTTCCCACAAGAATGATTATATTTGCAAAGGTTAAATCAGCGCTGAGCAGAGATAATGAATTTTGCTCCTTTTATGACGATTTTTTCCCACTGTGCGACGTCAGGAAGAAGCTCCCAGACCTGGAACCTACTTATCGATCCACCAGCTCATGAACCGGGGACCAACAGCTTTACTTCTCTTCCGAAGAAAGGCGTGATCAGATATGTTATGCCTCAGAAAAGCCCGGTGGCGCCATTTAGGATTGAACGCAGGCCTGTTGGGGTGAGAAATATTCAGAGGGAGAGATGTAGCTAAACTATCTTGCAACCCTAATAATAATTGATTGCGTCGCAGTATTTTTCACATTTCTTGGTGCCATTAATTAATCAACTAATATCAATTAATCAATAGGCTTAGTATAAAGAGAGAGAGAAAGAATAGTAATTTCCATTTAATTCCACTACCCTATTTGCTTATCCTTGACTGATACGCGTATTTCGTCTACAACGTGCAGACTTCTTCAGTGTCTTGTACTAACACAAATGGAAATTAATAATCTTTCTCTTTCTCTTTATACAGGTATTCCACTAAAACGCCCACATTCATCAGGATTCAATAGACTTAGAATATTGCTTTTGATTTCAAAAACTAGTTGAATTTGAGAAGCACACGAAACATAAAGGTGATTGAATTTCTGTTCGATTGCAATACTCTCAAATTTAATCTAGTAGGAATGAGAAATCATCGGAATAATTCTAATGGGAATATTCGATTGGCTCAGATTTTGACAGTTTATTTTGGCTCAAAACATTCTCTCCGCCCATCTGTATTTCTAATATTACTAAGCTTTAACTCAAGTGCAGCGCTACTGTATCTGTTATTTGGATTCTTGCAAAGTTGCCAGTCTTCGCTATACCTGTCAAAAATTATCCCGGATGTTACCGTAGAATTCACATCTGCAATGGTAGAAGCCAATCTAGAGCTTGACTGTGAACTTGCCGTGGTGAAGCTCGTCCCCCGAAAGACAAAGATTGGAATTCATGAGAACTTTGAGGAATGCATCAGATTTTACATTAAACCCCCTTCAAAATGGTTGAACAGAGTTGTTAATCGATAACCGCAAATTACCATTGCTGATGTAACCGCAGGCGTTATCAACGGTGATCGATTAACAACCCTAGTCAAGAACAGAAAGAACTATTTTGGCCACAAGGTTCGAAAATTGTGTATAAATTTGAGCTGACAAATATCGCAATGAAAGAGGACATGAATAAAAAAATATGGGCACATTATCAGAACACGTTATTTTTCATCACAAGAAAACTCAAAAAATTTCAGAATTTAAAAACCAAAAAAATCAACGCACCCAAACTGCACAAACCACCATGAGCCATATACCCTTATTTATCAACGTCCTAAATTTACCCAACGTAACGATAGATACTTACTTCCACACGAACTTCCAGCTGGCGTAAACGAGCGCTCCTACCATTCCGAACAGAGCCAGTGCATTTACGATGAGGCCAGAGAAATTTAAATAGCAAATATCCACCACTTGTTCCGACGTTAAGCTGCCACCCATGAGAGCATTGTAGCCCTGTATCTGCCGCGACGGACCCGGCAACAAACCGGTGACGGCGGACGCAGCAATATCACAAATCATTTTCCCAACCGCAAACCGAATATTTCACTGCTGTTAGACTGTAGCACACTTTCCAAAATTCGGCTCTTTGTTCCACGTTTCCTTAATTAATATTGCCGGTTTCTTTCGTTTTTCACACTGCCTTCCTCCGGTCACACTGAATTTTCCAATCGGCGCGCGATCACTTTTGTTTCACCTTGCGGCGTTGATTTGAGTGTTTCCATTTGGATTATTTTTAGCACTGTCTTCAGATTTCGATTGCATACGCTTATTCCGAATTAGCGCTGGCGTACCTACCAATCAATCGATGAATCAATCTTCCAAAGTAACAGATCTGGAGTAAATGTGAACACGCATTTTCTCAATTCAGTCGATCGTACTTCACGCTCGATCACGATCCCCATAAGCGCACTATCGCGGGTACCAATTCCGAATGACTGGACCGAACACGCTGGTCAGTTGTTTCTCGGTCGATCGTATTTACATTGATTGTGTGGGATTTTGCAGACAGCAGACGGAGCGTGGCGGCAGGAATGGAGTGCTTGATCGAACCACTCCTCTGAATAATAGCATACCTTTGTAAGTATGAGAAATAGCCGGCAAACGGTTTCCGGAAAACTCAAGCTGTTTCCAGACTCTAGAAACTAGAGTATGTTTAGCCATTTTGGTTTGGCTATATTAAGAAGATTTTTAACCGTAGTCTAGTTCATCTCCGAAGTAATTTAAGCAGTAAATTCTGATACATTTTTTTCAAGTATTTCATCAGAATTTTAAATTTTAAACAAAAAAAAACCTACGGGAACATCATGAATTTCTAGAAATGTCTGCATAATTCAACGAAAAATGTATGGATAATTTTGGAAAAAAAATTGTGTAGCTGAAGTTGTGGAAAGATTATTGAAAGAAATTCTGAAGTCCAGTTTAGATGGTTTAATTTGGTGTTCAACTCACTTTATCAGAACATTATAGGTGGATGAGTTCGATGATCATAAATTGAGCTATAAATCCAAAACAGCAATAACGCCGTACGTCAAGCTTCAATGTTGCGGAAACACGATAAGTAAATAAACAAACTATGAAAATTAGTTCGGTTCTGATATGGCCTATTATAAAATTTGAGATCGCCAGTTTTTAAACATTGAGGATGATAGCTAGCCCCAAGCATCTTCTGTTAATTCTTTGTGTTATTCGGGTGATCTGGCAATAACGGAGTAGCAACCGCGGGCGGTCATTCATGCTGAAAATATGGAAAATAGCTCCATGACCGGACAGGAACACATAGAAGATATTCCGCGAGAGGTTAAATAAAAACACCATTAGCCGTTGAGCATCAACAAACACGCGCAAAACAATCATCGTCACAGCTTTGCAAACATCACATCCGCTGTTAAATCTCGCCTCTCAACCGCTCACTCGCTGCTAGATCGCCGTCAAACCTCTAAAGAAGATATTCTAGGAAAACAATAATTTACCCTGTATGATTCAACACCGATCGCACGGTCACTCACTGAACACCCATACACTTACTAGCGGAGTAAGTAATACCTTTTTGCGGGCTATAAAACCCTGTTCCAAGATTGTCTATTTTGCGCGCGTTCTGCTTTGGAGTGGGAAAACAAACAAACGCTTATTTTCCCGCATGTCTTTTCCACTGTGCTGCCCACTTTTCACGAGATTTTCCACCTTTCCACTGCCACATTCGGTCTACTCTCTGGTATATAGCTATCTATAAAATATTTTGTGTCTGATGTGTTTGGATGAACATAGAAAAAATGGAACGAAATTTCCAAGAATATCCACGACGCGTCGGCAGTGAGGAAACAACACACCGACAACAACGTTGGTCTGGTAAATATAAACCGCATTCGCCGCAATACGTGAGATATGCGTTTTCCACATGTTGGAGGATTTTTTTCCTTAGAAATGGTGCAATTTTTTCTCCTTTTCATGGAATGAATAGCAAGTGAGCATGCATGGCACTGTTATGAGTTCGTAATATCAAGAGGATTCGGATTAAATAGTCATGAATGGATGTGTGGATTTAAATGTATTTTTTTAAATCAGACCACACTTTCAGAAATAATTATTTTACACGTGACGGAATCCATCTTTGCCATAGAGCATGAGACCTAAACAAACATTTCATGTAAAATGAAGTGCTCCGAGACTGAAAAAAAAATACAAGAACAGGCAGACACAGTGGCTGGTCACATGCAGCCATCATATTCCAAATCTCCTTTTCCCTCTCCCGATTCAAACAATTGTAATCCGCTAACCTCGAGAAGACCGCGAGTAATCGGTCAAATCCTTTAATTTTAGATTTAAGAAATTAATAATGTATAAATAAAATGATAACTTGGCTCTGTAAAGTTTATTCCATTGAGCCTGTACAAATAAAGTAATTAACAAAAAAATAGCTTCTTAGACAGGAGTTTTATAAGGCAATCGGAAGGGGAAAGGTGGCAGACATTTTCAAGTATATGAAAGTACCTGTGACTTGAAAAGTGACATTTTCATTGCAACCGGGACTATTCTGTTATCTATATCTATATTCTATACTGATCTATTCTGGACAAATTATTTTTATCTAGATCAAAAACTCCTATGGTTTTGACAGTTTGGATCACTGCACATTTAAATCGGCCATTTACGATTTTCGGTCATAAGTTAGAATTAAGTGTCATGTCGGTTTGTCGGTGGTATATCTAAAGGGTGAGTCGATAATGATTGCGACACTTTCAAACTTGCGTAACTTATTTATACTTGACCGAAATTAACCAACATTTGCCCAGTTTCTCTTTAGAGTGTATTGTTAACATTCGTTTAGTTATGCAGTTATCAGTGAGATTCCGGTCGAGATGGAAGAAAATCAGCAAACCGTTCGCGAAAGGATTTTGTTCAGCCACATGCAAAATCTGGGGGTTGTTATTGGGTTGTCGAATCGCGCCTTGGCAAAACTGATAAATATATAACTTTCAACCTCAAGGGTCCTCCAAGGTCCCGGGAACGGATGACAGTGCCCAATAGACTGATGCAAAATTTGAAATCTTCGCTCCACAGTGCTTAAACGGTTCCAAATTGGGTCCTGCTTAGCCTCCCAAAATTTGAACTACTTTAGTAAGAAACTAACTTGGCACAAACCATTTCAAATTTATATGGGAATTACTTTGGAAAAACTTATGTTTTTGTTCATATCTATCTAACAATTCACCACATCACTATGCTTTTAAAAATGATAGCAGAGATTGTAGCAAATTTTTGCAGCTACAACTTTGTTGAAAACCACTTTTCAAACACTTGTAAGGAACAAAAGTTATTAATGATTCAAGTCACTGATGTCTTATGATTATGCTCAATCAACTGTTCAGCAGGCTACATTGGTATTTCTGGTGCGAAGAATAGAGCACAAATATCATGGCTACTATGTCACACTGCAGAATACAGTGTTGCCCACAAAACAGCTGCTTGATCATGCCATAAGATTATCAATCTCTTAAACAATTAATATCATTTTAATTTGACATTTGGCTGAAAAACTATGTTCCGAAAAGTTGTAGCTTAGAAAATTTCGCGTAAGAATTGTTATATAAGTTTTCGAAAAAGCAATATGGAAAATGGGTAGAAGACAATGAACAAAAAAATTGGTTTTCCCATAGTAATTTCCATATAAACTTAGAATAGTTTATGCCAAGGCAGTTTCTTACCAAATGAGTTTAAATTTTGAGAGGCTAATCAGGACTTGATTTGAAACCGTTTGAGCACTGTGGAGCGAAAATTTCCAATTTTGCATCAGTCTAGTGCCCAACAAGCAATTCAGAGTCACAAATAAGCATACATATTGAATAAATGCTGTATAACAGTGCTCACTCCTGAATTAAGCGGGATGTCGAATTATGTGCTGAAAAAATCTTATTGAGATCGATAGATGCGCCTTTATTCCGCTATTTGCTCTGATCTGATTAATTTATTCATTAAAATCTTTATAAATGTAGACTGTCCTCCCGATTCAACACCAGAAGTTTGATCTAATAACAAACTGAATAAGTGTAATTGGAACATACATCGACGCTTTAATTCGACACTTTGCAATTGATTTAATAACATGCATTATTAGACGTCTAATAAATGTTTTCTAGCTCCATTATTTGATTTATTTTCAGTAAAGATGAGTACAGTCAGCAAAATAGCTCTTATACCACTTTGCGTCTATGTTTTAATTGCATGCTTTGTAAATGCTTTACAAATGACTTATTCATTAATTATTCCACAAAACTGTTTAAGGCTAACAACAAGACGAAATTGGTAGCATAGTGGTTACCGTTTCCGCTTTCCAAGTAGAAGGTCTCGAATTCAATCCCTACCTTTATTTTTTTTTTATTTGTGTTCTACGCCTACACAGCAAAAAAATAATTTTGATATCACGTCAAAGTGGATGCACTACAATCATGTCGAAAATATGGTGTAATATTACTTGCTAAAAAGGACTGCATTTGTTTATTTATGTGGTCATAAAAATTACATGAAATTTTCGACATGATTGTAGTGCATCCACTTTGATGTGATATCAAAATTATTTTTTTGCTGTGTAATTAATTTAAATCGTAATCATCGATCACATCAATCACGAAAACGAATTCATCGATCTAGTAATAAGAATAGCCCAGAATCCTCTCCATCGAAATTCGAGAGGTGAAGAGGTAACATTGGTCTCATGTAGATGATGATGATGGTCCCACCTCTTATCCCTACAAAGGTATGAGTTGGACGATTTATCTTTAAGATAATTGAATATGACATTTTAACCAGGTTGGCAAACAAAATCGAACTGGTTTCAGTTGCAGATATAAATTCCCTCTAGAGTCTTAGTTCGCCTTTTTGTTCACCTAAAATATTCATAAGTATTACAAGCGATCAAGAGTTAATGAACAATCAACAAAGCATCCTATTACACTAGCAACCCCGCAATCTGATGCTATCATAATTTTCAGCAATGTCAGGAATGCTCACGAACCCCCAACATTTGCCAGAAAACTTACTACTAACTCAAGGTATCTTCCATATAAGCTTCAAAATTGCATTTTTTTTTTTTTCAAATTCAGTCCTCTATATCCGTAATACGCGCGCGAGGCTCAAACCTTTGAAGAAGACTATTTTTTTTACTACTACTACTATTAAATCAAATATTAAAAATCCATCATCACCATCGCGGCGAACAGAAATAGTTTTTGCAGTGCTACAATAACTATTAAAAAGTCGTTATGACAGCTATCCATACAAAATAATCCGTTAAAAATAACTTCGTCAAGATACATAATTTGTCAATTCATAAAAAAA